GAATGAGAAAATTTCTCATATCTGCATACTTTCAAGTGTAAGAATGAAAATTTTTAACGTATTCTCCATTTTTGTAAAGAAGGATTTGGAGGGGTTTTGTTGTAAATATTTAAATTTAATACCTTTGTTCACAAGAACAACTGATTGATATAAAGGAAAACAAATTTCCAAAAAAATGAATAATTAATATTTAAAAATAAAAGTTGTAGTTTAGTTATGGTCAATGATTCAGTTCTATTTATTTTTGAGGTATGCTCCGTTTAACCACTGCAGCAATCAAAGGCATCAAAATAAACTAAACTTTGACACACTACATTAAAAAATGTTAATGTCATTTTTAAATGTGATTTTAAAGTACATTACAAAAATAAGTTATCTGTTTCAACTTTTTGTATTACTAAATAATGTTTTGAATTAATTTATTTTTTTTTCAGTGTTCCAAATGAAACCAGGACTTTGCACGTGCTAAGTAAGCACTCTGTCACTCACCTTGTGGTTTTTCAAGATAGGGTCTCACTATGTAGCTCCGGCTGGACTAACTTCCAATTACAGATCCTCCCACCTCAGCCACCAGAGTCTGGAGACTGCAGGGAAGTGCCACCAGGCCCAACTAAGTTCAACTTTTAAATTTTCATTCTTATAGATATTGTTTTGTGTATGTTTGATCACGTACAAAATCGATAACCATGGCTGAGAAAACGGTTCAATGAGTAAAGTATTTGCTGCACAAGTGTAAAGATAAGAGTTGAAACCCGAGAAACTACAAAAAGTTGGGTATGGCCGTGCGCGTCTGTGAGTCCAGTGGAATGTTTTGAGTTGTCTTACAGCAAAATTTAGGTTAAGCCCTAGACAATGCTGGAGAAAGGTAATCAATGAAACCATTTGAATCTCAAGACATTACACGGTAGTAGCTATATGTAGGCTAAATGTATTTATTTCAATTCTAATGTGGATTTATCCTCATCACACTTACTATAATATTCAGAGTTGACCACTCAAATAATGTAAGTGGGGGGAAAATGCAGAGCTCCACAGACAACCATGATTCTAGTAAGAAGTCATTTGTAAGGATGAAGAGCCCTGAAGCTCAAGTTCGTTAAACGTGTCATGGTTAGTTCAAAGCACAATCAAGAAATAATGCCTGGTTTGCACCTGTCATATGAAGTAAGGGACACACTAACTTCTCTGTGTAATTATTTTGTTACTTCCCAAATGCATTTAATTCCTGACCAATTAAAAATGCTTCCAGAACAAACCCACTTGGTCATTCCATAAACATTACACATTTGTTTATGAGTCAATTATAGTAAATTACCTGTGTGTACTCCTCTTCATTATGTTAATTGTGCATATCATTACACTTTTTCTGGCTTGGCTGTATTTTAGGGTCTGTCCAGTTAGAGACACTAGCATCAAAACAAGAATTTGGCACATGTTTGGAACTCAGGATCAAATTTAAATATTTTATTGTAAAAACAGGAAAATTACATCTGGTATGGTGGCACATGCCAGTAATCCGAGCCCTCAGGGAGCTGAAGCAAGAGGATCATAAGTTCAAGGCCAGCCTGCGATACACAGCCCCTGTCTGAAAAGAAAACAAAACAAAAAACAGAAAAAATTGTTGCAATACTAGACACAGAAATATATATTTGCTCAAATAATACAGGTTAATAGTGATTGTTTGAATGAATAAATGTATTAATAAATTTATATATTACTTATTGCACAAATGCGCGTGTCTTAATATACAATATGCACGAGCAGAGGTGAAAGGTAACAGCTACAGAAAAGCTGTCATATTAATAGGAACCAGCAAACAGCTTACTTACCGCTCTGGTCTTACGTAGAAAAAAATACTAAGAGGGAAAGTGACAAGTTGAGGAAAGAAATGCGTAGATCCCACTTAAGATGCTTCTCCCAGATCACGCTTCCTTTAAGTGGAGTCCTTCCCTACCCAAGTTTTCATCACTTACTTCCTGGGACAGGGCTTAGTCATTAACCTCAACCAGCACTTCTACCCTCGCTTAACAATCACAGTCACAATGAGAAAAGAGCAAATGCTACTGATTATTTTACAGTATGCATACTGGGATGTGTAAGCTATTCAACAGTTTTAAGGTGGGTGTTTTTTCCTACTGGTTGGATTTAATTAATAGTTGGGACCATTAAATAATTTTTCCAGTGAAAAGCCACACTGTGACCAAAAGAACAAAAACAATCCCACTGAGAAGAAAGTAATGAACTTATAGCGGTGAAGGTAAAGCGGCTTTAGGCACAAAAGACAGAAATATTTAGAGATCACTTTGTCTCTGTCTTTTCTACCACACAGATCCAAACAGTGCTACGCTTATGTTGTTTTCCTGCGCTTTGCACATACTGAAAACTTTCATTTTGAGTTTCTATTTCCTAGAAGTGGGGTGAGGGGGGAAAACCTGGTTATTATTCCTAAACCCATTGAAATTGCATTGGTGGCATCAAAATGGATTTTTTTTAAAGCAGGATGTTGGAGTGATGATAAAGCAGCCGCTCTGCAACCAACGAAAGCAAAAATTAATAAGAGACCTTAGCGAAAGAAAGACTATTGGTTTTGCACACCCAGAGCAAATTGGCTGGATTTAGACGAGCACACTTTGATCTTTTCCAGACTAATTACTGCTCTGTGGCTTGACTGCTTTGTGCATGAGGTGCCCTTCATACAAAACCGAAACTGCTATGCTACACAGCTGTAATACAAATGGAAATTTGACGTTCAGTAAACAAAGCATGGCATGGGTCATTCTTTCAGTACAATAACTGCATAATACAATTTTAGAATGTCTTTTGTATACCACAAATATGACACATTTTAAGGCAGTTTTGAACACAGAGTAGGCAGTCAAGGCTGTTTGTAAAGGATAGAGAAATTGTTCCCAACTCTGATCTATAAATACAAATTGAAATAGTTTATTTCAGCACTGTAAAAATGCTGAGGAATTTACATATTTACAA